GACGTCACATCGGCCGCGTTCTAAATACGAATGCGAGACTGAAGTATGCCCCACCAGCCGCAGAACGAAAGTGTGAAGCTCGTGCTTCAAAAGGAAAAACTGAGAGGTAGACATGAATTATTAATAACTGTCTTTAATTAGCAATTACATTTTCCACGTGATTTTTCAATTGTACAACATAAAATGCCAATTTTTTCATTAAGTGTTGTCTTCATAAAATCGCACTATTTTTTTTGCACACATTATATAGGCTAAATGAGTTTTATAATAGCCTGTAATATTTTTTGAAGCAGTGAATCATCATGCATAGGCTACATCTATCTGGCATAATTAAAAAACTTATTTCAACTATGATATGCTTTCTTGAAACAGACATCACGGAGGAAGACTAATGCAAACGATCCGGTATTTAGTTGTGCATTCGCAAAAATCAAAGTCGGCTGATGCTGAGCCAATCAGCAGCGAGAGCAGCAGTGACGCGGTTTTAGGGCTGAGTAGCTGTATATTAAGCTAAGATATGGCTTGTTTCTGCTGTTACTAATGAAAACAATGCAAGTGTTTTTCTGAGGGTTTTGTTTCAGACACTCTCAGGCCTTACAGTCGAGAGTCACCATGTTTTTCTGTCTGGGAAATTGATTCATGTTTATTATTTAAGTAATTATTAATTATTTTCACTACTTAGTTTTAAGGAGGCAAAAACAGTCCTTATGAACCTCGGGTGGCACGCACTGGAATTCAGTCAGAGCGAAACATTCGGTGGGTTTTTCGGGGAAATGGGCGTGTCTTTTCCTGGAGTGGGCGTGTTTTGGGAGTTTTGGGGCTTTCCTGTTTTGTAAAGCTTTTGGACAGATTTGATCACACAGATTTCCCAGATTCAGCTGCCATAATCCAGAGACATAGCCATGACAGAGGAGCCGGGGACTGCAGCTGGTAGGTGCAGTGATGCAGCGTTTCTGTGGCGAACCGTTCTAGTGATTTTACTATCATTACATATTTCAGCAGCAAGGTTGTCATGGCAACCAGATACATCGCAAGCTAATTATTTTCTGCGCCTCGTGTATTTTTGCCGCTAACACTATCTCAAAGTAGCTTTTATTAATCAAATGAACGTGTGGAAAGCGCTTGTGAAGCACAACAGGCAGTTAGTATATCATGATCCGCCGAAATACAGAACTTTATTACACGGATCAGATCGGGGGAGGCATTACTGACTTTGATTTATTAATTTATTTTCGAAATAACAATTTAAAACGTGCTTAAATAACTAAACTATACACATATTTACTTTAGAGTTGAAAATATTGTTTATTGAAAAATATAAGCCGATATATTTAGTAAAATCTTTCAGTTTCACTTTCATTAGGACGTTCTAATTTTTAATTGTGATTTTTGCTACAATGTTCACTAAACAATCGTTTTATGAAAAAGTGAAGAATTAAAAAAAACAACCAAAATTAAAATCAGCATTATTATGATCGGAATTTGAACGTGAAACAAGTATGACACAAGTGAGCATTTAAACGTCTTCCTCAGTCTACACTCTGACCGGTAGATGTCAGGAAAACCCCAACTAAAGCAGTTCCTACTTCTGTCGTTTTGTTTCGTTTACTTTCATACCTAAAGAAATGTTAAACTAATGTTAAGATTTCAGATTTCTGACAAACTTCTCACACACACATACTCTATCTCTCTCTCTCTCTCTCTCTCACACACACACACACACACACACATACTACAGTTTGTGTTTGAGTGTATTATTCCTCCACTCACTCACTCATTCATTCATTCAAGAAGGACAAATTTCCTTTATTTGAGTCGTTTCCACGCTCTTGCAGGGATTCGTTGCACATTGTAAATATAATATATTATAAGTAGGCCTAGATTATATTGCATGAGCTAACAGTGTGTTGTGTGTGTGTCCTGTAAGCTCCGACATATTCTTCATGTGTTTCGTTCTCTACTGTACAGACGTGCATTTACTTTTGCTTCAGCCTGAGGCATATTCATTTCACTTCTGTTGTGAAAGAACTTTTACATTTGAAAAAGAACTTTTTATTTTAAAACCAAACAAGCAAGCCCCGCCCAGATTGGATAAATATCACGTTATTGGGGTCACTTCAGCCCACGAACATGAAAATACATATCTATGGAAAACATAAACCCAGGTTAAGGCTAGATGGTATACAGATTCATCTACTGGGCATGCGCACATCAATATAGCATAGTTTTTGTCACACTGTGCAACAATAATGACTGTTTTTGCATTATTGTAAGGGGTAGGTTTAGGGTCGGTGTAGGTGTAGACGTTAAAAAAACTAAATTAAATGTATTGTTAGCTTCCGGTTTTAGCCTGTACCCCTCCGAGTCACAAAGTAGCAGGAAAACCGCGGACTTGGCAACACTGATGAGGGCGACGCGAACTCTCGCGCGTTTGTGTCTCGCGAGATTTGCCTCGTCCGCTTTCAGACTCCATGATCCACGCGCCGCGATCTTCATGACGCCCCTCCGCGCGTCGAGCGGCGCTCGTATCCCCGCTCAGATGGACTAAAGAGCGATCCGCGAGGATGGAGAGCGTTAAACTGAAGAAAAGCGGCGCTCCGAGTGCGGCCTTGAGATCCGCGGCCGATGAAGAAGACGACGAAGGCCAGGGAGCGTCGAAGCCGCGTCAGAACCGGAGCCCCGCCGATCTGAGGAAGAGGAGGGTGAGGAGGCACGCGTCTCTGGACCGGCAGAGACACCGAGCCGCTGCTCCGCTGCAGCTGTGCGACCGGCAGTGGGTCCGCCAGGACCTGCGCCGCGGCTCCGTTCACGTCCATGACCGGCTGACGGTGCGGTCGCTCCCGCCGCGGCTCGTGCTGTGCACTGCGGACTGCACCGCGGCCGAGATCGCGCAGCGCCTGAGCGGCAAACCGGGCTCGGTCCTGAGGCTCACCGCCAAGACGGACGTGAACGGGAACTGCGACGGCGACCGGCTGCGGCTGCTGCTGCTGGAGAAGGAGCACCGGTTCCAGTACGACATCTGCACCGAGCCCCAGGACGAGGACTCCGTCAAACGGTCCGCGGGCTCCGATGTGGAGAGCAGCAGCGACCTGAGCTCCGGGGCCCGGTTCAGCCGGCACCGGGACTCGCTCAGCGACGACATGACCCTGGGTACCGACGCTTCGGCGCTCGAGAGCCTGGACGCGTACGGCAGCTCCTCGGACGAGCTGGAGCTGGACTGTCCGGTAACGGATGGAGCCGAGGCGGGTCCCGCCGGTGACTGGGACTCCGGACCGGCGCTGTACGTTCAGCTGCACGGCGAGGCGGCGCGGCGCCTGGGGCCCGAGGAGAGGCCCCTGCAGCTCCAGAACGACTTTCTCTTTAAGCTGGGATTTAAGGATCCGTGGCGGGTTCAGGAGGAGGGCATGAACACCGAGCTGGGCTCGCTGCTGCGCTTCTACGCAGGTAAACCGTGTTCGCTTCACGCAGGTGTTTACATCAGAGTCAGCTGTGCTCGTGCTTACAGTAAGCACTGCTGAATGTGGCTCATGTTCACGGGCTGCTGCTGGTTGTAGGGTTTGAGAATCAAAAATCAGTTCCAATTCCAGAATCGGATACTTCACTTCCGGCCGTCAGTTCCTGTGTGCGCATCTTGTTTTTTTAGGTGGCTGTTAAAAATGTATTTGTCTTTGAATCATTCATTCATTCAAGAGATTCATTCAGATACACTGATTCATCCAGTAATGAAACGAGTGAAGCTTGAATCATTCCATTCACACGCTCCACGAGGTTTTGTTCAGTTGTCTGATATTTTTCTTTGGAATTGTGAGAGAACTACAACCTCCATTAAAAAACAGAAAAAGTAGATTTATCCAGAATCGTGCGGCTCTATATTACACACAAACAGCTCTTAATCAAGTCCAGTTTTTATGTAGCCGGCTTTTGTGAAGCTGAATAAATAATCTTTCCATTGATGTATGGTTTGTTAGGATCGGACAATATTTGGCTGAGATACAACTATTTGAAAATCTGGAATCTGAGGGTGCAAAAAAATCTAAATATTGAGAAAATCATCTTTAAAGTTGTCCAAATGAAGTTCTTAGCAATGCATATTACTAATCAAAAATTAAGTTTTGATATATTTACGGTAGGAAATGTACAAAATATCTTCATGGAACATGATCTTTACTTAATATCCTAATGATTTTTGGCATAAAAGAGAAATGTATAATTTTGACCCATACAATGTATTGTTGGCTATTGCTACAAATATACCCCAGCGACTTAACACTGCTTTTGTGCTCCAGGCTCACATACGTCTCACATGCTTCTCCTAAAATTCCCGTGAAGGACACATATAAGGTGCTATAAAGTGAATGTGAGAAATATTTGCGTTCGCAGAGAGGTTTATGTGCAGAGACGCTGACACCGACGGTCCAGAACAGACTGGTGAGGTCTTTATCTCAGGATGCTGGCGAGCATGGATCGGCATTTCATTCGGAATTGCAGTGGCTTTGCATTGCTCTTTATACAGTTCTTTTACTTTACAAATAATACAACCCTACTTTACAAACATGTGCATGCAGAAGATTTGAGGTGAGAGATCAGCTCTCTGACTGAACTTGTTATACGGTATGTTCATGTGCAAAACAGTTCTAACACTTTATTGATTTACTGTACAAATGAACAACCTTGCAAATTTTACTTTCAGAAGTGTTCCGAACACACAGAATGCACATGCATGCAGAAGATTTGGCATCAGATATCAGCTCGCTGTCTGTGACATGTTGTTATACTGCATGTACATGTCAAAAATACTGCAACAACCCTTGATTCTTTTACTTATTTTAAACAGAACTCGACAAATGAATAACCATGCACATTTTGCTTTGCAGTAATGTTTACATGCACACAGAACACGTGTGCATTCAGTACAGTTTGCGTGAGAGGTCTGCTCATGTGATGTCACCGTACACAACTTCAGAACAAGCATGCATTCACAATGATCCTGCATGTTTATGTTCCCATGGATCTCTCTCTCTCGCTCTCTCTCTCTCTCTCTCTCTCTCTCTCTCGTCGCTGCTAATAAAACATGACAGCGTTCTCTGCTCCCACGGATGCACATGACATGGCCACAAAACCATTGTGAGCGGCTCTTGTGGTTTGGACGGCGCTCTTGTTCCGGTCTGTTCATTATCACTGGCATGAAAGGCTGAATGCTGTTGGTGCAGTGGAGGGTGAAGAGAGAGGGCTCTGGATATTTAGATGCTGGCCTGTTCTTGGCTCGCGCTCTCTTTAGCGTCTCTCGCCAGCGGCTAACAGTGGGCTGCAGGAAGAGCTTTCATTCACGCCGCTGAGAAACACAGGGCTGTGAGGAATACGGATGGGGGACGGGAAGGCTGTGGGATTTGTTGGACAGAGCAGGAGTGCGTCTTAGCAACTGTTGGAGCCGTTATCTTAAAAACTGATTTAAAGGCACAATATGTACGATTTTTTATTAAAATATCCAAAAACCACTAGAACAGTGCTTTGTTTATTTTGAATACGCGCCCTCCAGCGGAGAAAATTACATACTGTGCCTTTAAGAAGAGCTGCAGACATAGTCAGGCTTTTACAGTGTGGATCAGATCCTCCTCTGAGGCTGATATACTGATGAGGCCTTTATTACATGATCAAAACTTTGCTGCTAATCCTGTTTCACTTTCAGTCTCCTCACGTCTTCTGTCTCTGGTTGATCGTTTAGAGTGTTTTATCCAGTGAAAGCTCTTTTAGTGTAATTGTACAAATGCTAATCCAGAGAAATAAGCAATTTTAACTAGTGACACGGAGCGTGTCTATAGTGTCACTGTGTCGCCTGCTAATGATGTCATAACCCCTCGATTTCCGAAAACATGGATTACTTGATTCTCCATCAATCATGTTTTAGAGTCTCAAATCTGATCCTCAGGATCTTTTGAGGAGCGTTTGTTTCCAGAAGCTTTACTTTCACTGTTCCTCAGCGGAGGAATGATCTTCACAAGCCTCCAGAACATCTCACATCTTCTGAGGAGCCTTTATTTCTTCAGCTCTCAATCACTGCATTATATGTTTGGAGCATTTCAATCTCATCTTATTGAGACATGTTACTGGAGATATAGAGCGACCGCTGATATTTATAGCATTGTATGTCAGCATCTGCTCTACTGTTATAAAGCTCTCATTGATTTACATCACAAGCAGCAGTATTTCAAATATCAGCATCTGCACTAAATTGCTCCGTTTGAGTCTCTGAATAAAATTGAGCTGTTTGTCCTCCATATTCTCACTATTTCAGACTATATGAGCCATAAAAGCCTGATGATCAAATATGATACTCAACGTAAAACATATGCAAACTTCTTTTGTTTAAAGGTACGATAAACTGTTAGATTTCAAAAAAACCTTTTTATTTTATTTGAAAGCTTTTTAAAAAAAAGCTACATTTCATCTTTGGTAGTTTGGTGCCATATTTGATAAAACCAAAATGCATGAATTTCTGCATAACAACTCTCTGAAATTAAGCATCTTGAAGTGTGCCGGCATAGATGAGATCTGGTGCTAATCGTGGGATAGTTTGCATTGGCATGAGTCGTGCATGCTGAGCTGCTGACTTTCACGCGGTACTCATATGTAATGCTGTGTTAGCCGCGATGCTTAACTCTGTTGTTGAAGAACAGAACCCTTTCTGCCGGTGGATTTGTGGCTCAGTTTGAGATTCTCTGGTAAGCGTTAGTGTTGGTCTGGCAGATGTTGTCATGTGAGGAGGATTAAAGGCTGTCAGTCATCTCCGCAGGGTTAGTGTAGTGTGTGTTCTGTGAAGTATGTACTCAGACGCTCCGGGAATGTCGGGAATGTCGGGCTCAGAGCCTCGGCTCACTCTGAAGGGTGTTACAAGTGCCACAGTTTAAGATATTTCATATCCTGCAGATTGTGATGTGATGCATGATTGTGAATAATATGATAGATTTTGATATGTAGCCTCAATGCTGGTCATCGTTTCTGTTTGCTTATGATAACGTTTTTCAAGCTGTTGTTTGATATAAGAAACATATTTGATCATAAAGTATATTTCGCTGTTTAAATGACATTTTATTAATGTTTGATCGGACTGATAAAGCAGGAACGCCGCAAGGATTTTTGACAACGTGTAGCATGTTTTGTTTTTTTAATAAATTGCTTATCATCAGTAGGGTTGCAAAAAGGTGGAAAAGTTCCAGTAAATTTCTGAAATATTCCAGAAACTTTGGAAACTTTCCAGGAATTTTTGGGAGTATTCCAGGGATTTTTGGAAAGCTTCCGGAAATTTTCCACCCCTTTGCAACCCTAATCATCAGTAATAATAAACATCAATTATTGCACGCTAATTAAGAGACAATGAAGAACAAATCAAGTTTATTAAAACAACTTCATATGATAAACATAATATCTGAACATGTCATTATATTGCTGCTGTCGAGATGTCAAGCCCTAAAGAACACGAGGAAGAAAGACATGAAATATGAATGTGTTTCGTCTCCTGATGAAGTCATGTGTTGCATTTACTCTGAAGCTGTGATAAACCCACTTTTCACTCATAGTTGCATAGAATCCAGTCAAGATGAATATAATAGAACACTTTACAATAGGCTGCATTTGTTACCATTGTTAACTACATAAGTTAACACGAGCTATCAGTGAAAAACATTTCTAAATATTCATTTCAATACTAATTTCAGCATTTACAAATGCATTGTTTAAATCAAAATTTCTATCTGTTATTTATTTATTTATTTTTATATTTCTCATTGTTAGTGTTATATAATGCGTGAACTAATGCGTGAACTGTTGTGAAGTGTATAATGTAATCTAATATCTGGTTTGACTTGTTGTGTCCATGTTTTTAGTACAATTCTTTAATTTCTGTTGTCATGTAAAATGTACAGTAAATGGACTAAACGAAGATTTTTTGTATTCGAGTTACTCGAGGTATTCGAGGAATCGTTTCAGCCCTAGTTGTCAATATCTCACACCCCTACGTCACATTAATATACCGAACGTTATTCTCCTAACTTCTGAAAATACAAAATTAATGAAAATTTACAGCCCATTCAGTCAAAATGACAGATAAGGATTATTTGTAGTGCAATCTTATGATTTGAAATGATTTGTTGCAGTCCTGTTGAGTGGAACTTCCCCAAACTGGAATTGAAAACGCAGTAGGCTCGTTAGGAAAAAGGTGGATGCTGAAACTGTACTTTTTTATTTATGTTTATTTCAGTTTTAGTTTTGGTGTTTTATTACATCACGTTAAACTAAATAAAAATGAGAAATGCTGCTTTGGAAATGCAGTAAGTTTTCTTTTATGAGTGCGTTTATTTGTGGTCAGTGATGTTCGTTCAGGTCGGTGTGTAACTGCTGTATCGAGCGTCTGGATCCAGATGAGATTTCAGGAGATTCAGCATTAGTGT